GGGGCCAGGCCCCGCCGGCCCCCAGCCGAGCCCTTGTTCCGCCCGTGTCCGTTCTGCCCCGGAGAGCCGCGAGGGCCAGGACTTGAACAGGGGTCAAAAGAGGGCGAGATACAGTCATGGGGCTTGGGTCCATCAATGTTGGCCAGGCTGGGCAGGGATGGGGCCCCGGCCTCTGTTTGCCAGGGGCTGGGAATGGGAGAGGGGCCAGGCCCCGCCGGCCCCCAGCCGAGCCCTTGTTCCGCCCGTGTCCGTTCTGCCCCGGAGAGCCGCGAGGGCCAGGACTTGAACAGGGGTCAAAAGAGGGCGAGATACAGTCATGGGGCTTGGGTCCATCAATGTTGGCCAGGCTGGGCAGGGATGGGGCCCCGGCCTCTGTTTGCCAGGGGCTGGGAATGGGAGAGGGGAGGGATCACTGGGTGACTCCCTGCTCTGTTCCCCCGCTCTGGGGCACCTGGCCTTGGCCGCTGTGGGCAGGCAGGACCCTGGGCCGGCTGGCTGGGATGCTCTGGTGCTTGTCTGCCGTGTGGGCAGGGGGCTGGACTCGACCCCTCGAGGTCCCTCCCTGTTCTAGGATGCCGGGGACCTTTGGTCGGACCCAGGCCGGCCGTTCCTACGAGCGATCCGGCCACCCGCTCTAGCCGGCTCTGCCGTTGGAGTCCCTCCCAGGGGGGAGCCCCGCAGACCTTCCTGGCCCCGGGGCAGCGAGGCCAAGCACCAGACTCAGTCTCAGGGCCTGAGACAGCCCCGCCAGGCCTTGGCGCCGCGCCGCTTACCCATATTTGGAATGAGGGCACTTGATGTGTTCACACTCCTTGAGATGCGCCTCCAGGTTCATTTTCAAGAGGGGCGGACAGCTGGGGTTATTGGGGCAGCGAACCGGCCTGTAGTCACAGCTGCTCTCGTGGTCTCTGCCCACCCGGGGAAAGGCGCAGAGGAGAGACGGTCACCAGCGGGCAGAGAGGAGGGGGCAGCACGTGGCTTCACGGGGCACGGGCGGAGCAGCCCTGCCGGGAACCCCGGCCACGGAGCCCTCCCTGCCCCCCGAGTCACCCCGGGGCCGGGGCTGGATTTAGCCAGGTTTGCCATAAGGCCGCTGGAGAGGAGGGAGCCCTCTGTGGGCAGCACCGGCTCCCCCGATCAACAGCAGCCAGCAGCTGAGGGCCTGCAGCGCGGGGGGAGGGGGAGGGATCCTCCAAAGGGACTCGGGGTAGGACACAGGGTTCAGTGCCCAGCTCCTGGGGATCCCGTGGTAGCCGGGGAGATCTCAGCCCAAAGCCACCCCCGGCTCCCTGCCCCGCAGACCAGGCTGGGCCCGGAAGCAGCCCGGGGCAGGTTCCCCGCCAATGGGGGCGGTTCCCCAGCCAATGGGGGTGTGGAGCTAGCGCTGGGAGCAGGGGCAAGAGCCCTGTGCGCTCCCCCATCCAGGAGCCTGCGGAGCCAGGCCAGGCAGGGAGCTGTCTTAGCCCCCCGCTGCTCACCTGCCCTCCCTGCAGCCACGAGACCCAGCGCTGGGCCCTGTGGTGCGCCTCCCGCTGCTCTGCGCCGCACAGCCCTCCCCAGCGCCTCCCTCAGACAGGGGCGATGCCGCTGCCGGCGGCGCACACATGGTGCGATCAGCCGGCGGTGGCTCCGGCGTCACTCACTTGCGGGCGCTCAGTTTAATGGTGAAGGGGCATCCGTGGGGGTCCACCTCGAAGGCCACGGGCTTGCTGCTGGCCCCAGCCCGGCAGCCATTTTTATAGTGAATGCTCCGCCACAGCGATGTTGTTCACCACCACGGTCAGCTTGGCGTTGTCCACGGGGCACTTCTCTGCCGGGGGAGGGGAGAGAGGCCTGCGCTCAGCCCTGCTGGGAGCCAGCCCCGGCTGCAGGAG